GGCAGATCTATCCAAAGAAATGTCGGATAGGTACACTGAGTACTTTTGTTTAACGGTGGGCAGTGTGAAATCAGGGGGGGGGGGGGGAGACGTGTCTCCCCTCTTTGTTAATTTACTGTAACCGACAGAACCACGGAGTTGCCGGATATTTGACGTACAGTAAATATACTGCACGTCGAAGATCCGACAGGTCCACAGTTCAGTCGGTTACAATAAATTAACGAAGAGGGAAACGCGTCTTTTTTAAGAACATATCTGTTTTTAAAGAGAACGCTATTCTCATAGGATGAAATGAAATTACGGGTAAATCGACAAATACAACCTAAAAAAGCTCGAGGTAAGCCTAAGCACTTCTTACGAGTTGTGAATGCGAAAGCAAGTAAGCCGCTCGTCCGCTCCCTTTTTTGTCTGAATGATAAGGTGGAACAAAAAACCTTTTAGTGTTCTTTGGCGTAAATTAAAAAGAAAGACACTCTAAAAAAAGTACGCGTCAAAAGAATGCGATTACAGCAAAAAAAAAAAGATTCGATGTGAGCAGAAACAATGAGCACGTCATTCGACGTGCTTATTGGGGGGGGGGGGGGGGGGGGGGGGTCTATGTATGTTTATACACCCTAGAACTTTGTCTGCCTCAACGGGCGTAGAGTCTCCCAGCTGGAGGAATTGAGCCAGTGCAGTACAACTGCTAGCCTGGGGTCTTTAACACGTATCTTGCAGTAGTGATACACGACCACACGCCGGTACGATGCTCATCCAGCAGATCGAAACGGGTAGGGATGAAGATTGAGCCCAGGATCCTAGGTTCTGCAGCGCGAGCTTTCGCTCCACGTGCTCCAAGCTGGTGTGCGCTAGCCCACTCGGCCACCGATCCCCCCTCGACTTGCTCATTTTCCCTGAGAACATCGCACTTTTTATATGTCTAATCGTATTCTGAGGTTTGTCCTTGGTTGGAGTCCTGCAATTGTTCGCCGTGATCGGCGGTCTCAGTGTTCTGCAGGACAGTAAACTCGGGACAACTTTCTTAGGGTGTGGGGTGGTTGTTTCTTTAAGCTGCTTTCACCGGTTATTTCGAATGCGTTCTTGCTTTGTCTGTAAAACGGCATGATGGATCAGCACGGATTTAGCAACATGCACTATACCAAATGTGTTTCTCTTCTTTCGCTACAGGTTCCTTCAGGGATCACTTAGTTGACTACCAGGGACTTTTTGTTCTCATAGGTTGGGTCACTGCTGTAAGCCTCTTGGCTTGGATACTTGATTCAAGGCCGTGTCCACAGCGACTCTCTCAACGGACTCTCTGCATTGAATGGCAGTTGAAATGGCTGCCGAATTTTAAAATCTCTCTGCCGCCTGTGATTGGCTGCGGGCGTCGTGACGACTTCTCCGACACACAACACGCGTTCTGTAACGGACAAAGGACATAGAACAAAAATTATGTGTCGTGTGTGCGTGTGCGTGTGTGCGTGTGTGCGTGTGTGCGTGTGTGCGTGCGTGCGTGCGTGCGTGCGCGCGCGTGTGCGTGCGTGTGTGTCTGTGTGCGTGCGTGTGCGTGTGCGTGTGTGTGTGTGTGTGTGTGTGTGTGTTTGTGTGTGTGTGTGTGATAATCGCGTTAACGTTGACCCTGAGGCGGCGATGATAAATATAAAATCATTTTGCCAAGCCTAGATACTCGTCGTTAGGGAATGACACCAGAAGAAAGAAGGTCGCTGCGCCAACCAGGAGATTGCGCCAGAAGTTACAACCATCGTTAACTCGGTCATCTGCGAGCACCTTCACCGTTGCACATGGCAAGTTTGTCAGTTTTTCAGAGGCAAAGAAATACCCCTTGAAATTCCACAATATAAAATCAACTATTTCTTAGCACATTCGGTGAAAGTTTGAACGTCCTTGTGCAAGCGCCGATATTTCGGGTTCGTTCTATAGCACTGGGGTAAATTTTGGTCGCCCTATACTTCTCAATTCTGACGCTCACAATTTATTACGAAACAATGGCCAGCTGAATCACCCCTTTACCGATCATGGTCTTAGGTAACGCGCTTGTCAAATCCAAAAAAAAAAAAAGGAACCTGGGATGTTGAACAAACGAATTATTTACGTATTGCTTCTTGACGAAGTGACGGACCGTGTTTCCTTGAACCAGCCGAGAGTATACTAGGCTTTTACCCCTGGCTAATATCATTTATTTTCGAGCTAAGGCGAGAGCATAAAAGATCAACAAACACTTCACATATCAGTTCATTGATGAGACCTTTATTCTAAAGTGGCTCTTATCAGAAGGCCGTCCAATAAATTTTTTGGTGATCTCATTTCATGTGATCGCTTCAATCTTGCGGCTCCTGTGCGACTCGTGTTCTCGTCGTCGTTCTCGCAAAAAAACTCATTCACAGGAATATATTCAGGTCCAGACACGATGCTAGCAAGATAAACATACCTTAATTGGTAGTCTCCCGATGTGTCTCTAAACAAACTTGAAAGCAATAGTACCAATTGATGCTGATATTAGTATTAGCCTGAAACTACGCAGTATTACAACTATATAGTGCATCACATTATCTTGCATGGGCATCAAGAAGGATGTTCAGTTTATTTACTTTAGATAAAACGTGATCTTTAAGATATGGATGCATGGTTTCGTGACAGCGTCAAGAGTAGTGTAATAGAAAAACGGAGAACATGCCGGCGAACTGCTGATCTTTCAACATCTGGAAAACCCCAGACTTGAGAACAAATGCGTGGACAACACATACACCGGTCTCATAAACAGCTGAGATGTGTTTGCAAACTTCCTTGTTCAAAAAGGCGACCCACAACAGGCCTTCAGACGCAAGAAGTCAGTCGTCATCACAACAAGCCTGACATAGACCACCCCGAAGCACCCTTTCCCGTTCTTAACCTTGACATTGGTGTGCCAAGCGCCCAAAGTGTAACGTTGCACAGTTGTGTATTTTTTTGGTTGTATAAGCCAGCATTTTTGCGAAACATCGAAAATCACTTTCCGACTCACTTCTCCACTTTATTAGGTTCGCGTGCATTTACAACTATTTTTTATTCCACCAAACTTCTCTGGATGCACCGATCTTTTGCAATGCACATCTTTGTCTATTATACCTTTTTGTTACCTATTCAATTCCACGTTCCCTCCCGTTGGTGATAATGTTTCCCAATGTAATGAGTTCCTACCCTATTCCTATATATAGCATATGTTACTCTCTTACCTTAGTTCTGTGATTTATCTGCTCCTTATGCCCAACCAGGTTTGAACCAAAGGTACTGCTTGCCCCTTTGCTCTGAATGGACAATATATAGACGCAATTTTAAACGTATCCACTCTGAATCCACGGAAGCGCTTGCTCGCTAATTTGTGTAAGAAAAAAATGTCTACCTCTTTAGTTGGGACACACAGACAGATTGCATTGACGTTATCAACCGGTAGTTCGTCAACTTTTCTACCAAATCTATATTTTATGGTCAAAACAATTGTTCAAGTAGAGCGTTGCTGTTAGTGCTGAAGACATGTCATGTCTACGGTGCCTGAACACCTCTTTGACCACTGAGTCTGCCGTCCTATCCCACCCGTACATCCAAGGTGGTTGCGAGTAGCAACAACTTGCGTCACAAGCTGGTGTGTCACGCTGTCGAATGTCGCGATCTTGGCGGTCGGTCATAGAGACCCCTGCGAAAAAGGACAGCGGACGCCAGGGACGCCGTCGTCGCGGCATCCCATTGACCGTCTACTTTGGTTTTCATCGGTTGTCTGGATGCAGAGCGACCTACAGCTGAGCAGGTGTGTGCCGCATACGCCTCCGCTGCTGTGCCATGGCCAGGATCCCAGGAAGCTATCTGGAAGTCGTCTGCGTCTTGCGAAGGAGTTGCGGGACGTCAGAACGACGCCGAGCTCTGATTGGCTTGGATTAATAGTAGGTATACCTCAATGCTGGATGCCTTAACGTCTACCCACTATTTGTTTCGTTGTTGTTGTTGTTTTTGTTTTTTTTTAACAGCAAATAACAGCTTGACATTTTGACACCATCGAAACCCATGAGCAAGAAGCAGACAAACTTGCGCTCCGCATAGCATGACATTTCAGTTACGCCATTACGAAGAAATCGAGGGAGCCCTTTTAAGGACGCGGTAACAGGAGCGTTGGACATGCGCTCCAGACATTATAGTTATGTCCTAAGCTCAGAGCTTAAGTTGGCTGATGTATAAAGACGTCGCTGTGCTCTTTCATTTCGATCTTTTTCTTCCCCTTACAACTCTCGGATTTGATTGCAGACAAATGTCGATGACTTACCGATCATCGCAGGTCTAATACAGAAAGGTACTGCGATGACGAGCGCCAGAAAGTGCAAGCACGAGCTGAGCTGTTGCGCGATGCACTACTGCAGTGGTTCTCAACCATCGATATTTCGAGGACCCCTTGTGGATTGGCGGAGGTGATAGAGGACCCCGTTGGTAGTGAAGGGAGGGGGAAGATATAGGTTAAATATAATAAGGATTTGATAGATGAATTTAACTAAGGACTAATGTGAAGTAGACTTCCCTTATTGACATACACACGAGAAAACTCGCCCGGAAATGGAAAAATTTCTTCTCGGTCTGAAAAAAAGACAAATTGTATCGCCGTGCTTGACTAATGTGGCAGGGCTTCGCAGACGCCTAGAATGCCTTCGCGGACCCCAATGGGTCCGCGGACCCCCAGTTGAGAACCACTGCACTACAGCAATTCACTAACGCATTAACATCTCATAAAATATATAATTTACGGCTTCGGCCCTTCTGTTTTAGTCTCAAAACAACGACCACCCGAATCATCATTCACTTATCTCAATCCTAATACTCGTGTATTGTCCCCAAAACCTAAAAGTATCGATCAGGGCATTGACAGGTTTAATGTACGTACGCGAGGTTATGATGATTGTTTCCCTAAACCAACTGAGTTGCAAAGTTCTTGTCACTGCGTACTATGGTTTCGTTTTCAAACTGAGATGACAATAACGTTACAAAAACTTCATATATGACTTTATTGAAGATCTTCCACAAAAAGTGACGCCACAAATTAAACGAACGGCTGAAGATGATTTTTGATCACATCTTTTTATGCGATCACTTTATTGCTTTTCTGCAAATCCTGTTCTTGCCGCCGTTCTCGCACGAGAACCCACATCCAGAGGAGTGCGCTTATACTTAAGCAAACCCCCAGTACCGTGAACATGCCTTGGTAGTCTCCCAGTGTGTCTCTAAAAAAACCTGGAAGGCATAGTAGCAATTAGTGCCGTTACGAGCCATCATGTCACACAGTAGAAAAGCTATGATGAGGTTTAATATTTCCTTAGATCCGTATTAAGAAAGGCTTTGTAATCAGGTTTATTTATCAGTTTACAGGAAACGTGATCCTCAGGTTATTAACATGTTGTTCCCCCAAAACGCAAATTGTAATGTAATCACACGTAACTTGTGGTTGTGCAGCTCTCTGTAAACATGTTTTTCATTTTTTTAGATTAATTCGCTGGTTTCTAGGCCCCTTACCCGCAACCAGGATAGAATCAAAGATATATACGGAGCGCAAGTTCGTTTGCTTCTTGAGCAGGGGTTGCGGGGACGTCAGAGTGCCATGATCCGATTGGCTCTGATTTGAAGAATAGTCGCTAGACGTCAATGCCAGCTGCCCTGAGGTCTACCCACTACCCTTACAATCGAGCCAATCAGAGCTCAGCGTTCTGGCGTTACCGCAACCCCCTGCGCAAGGAGCAGACGAACTTGCGCTCGTTGTAATCACTGACTGCTTAACAGACGCAGGGTGTGGCAAATCCTGACTATGTCATTAACGCTCCTTAGCCAATGGGGTTGCGGCACTAGCCGATACACGAAGGCCGAAGAACCAGTCACGAAGCAAGAAGCGTGAACGTGATAAGTCGAGCCCCACGTTTCTCAAAAATTAGGTGACTGTACCCGCCATCAGTCTTGAGTTTACAGTGAATATAGAGTAATACCGCACCGCACCGATGTGCTTGTTTGTCCAATCAGTTTTGCAACGTTTCTACCAAACGTTCTATCGGCGGCTAAACGATTAATTGGACTTTGACGTAGCGGTCAGTACCGCAGACATATCATATGTCCTAAGCTCAAGGTTTAAAATTGTTGATGTCTATAGACGTTAGTGTGCAGCTCTCTTAAATCAATTTTCTTATTTCTCAGATTAAATTTCAGACAAAGGACACTTACTCACCGATCATGACGGGTCTAACGGAGAAAGGTAGTACGATGATGAGCGTTACAAACCCGAAGCACAAACTGAATTGCTGAGCGTCAACGAGTTCCATCACAAGGATGGGGACTAGCATCGAAGTGGCACCGTTGCTCCAGCCAGCGGTGATGGCCGACACAACCTGAAAAGTGTAGTGGGTGGTGGAAGCCAGCATAAAATAGGACACCGCCCAGAGTAAAAAGTGCAGACTCATCATGGCGCTCCTCTTTATACATTTCTTGTCCGAGATCCAACCAGACCCGAACCTGGATGCCACATCTGCCACTCCGTAAATCGCGATAAGAAGAACTGCATTCCACTTGGAAACACCCCTGTCCGTTGCAAAGTCCACGATGACCGTCAGGTAAGTTGACATATTGAAGAGGATTTGCGCGTAGGAGAGAGCAATCATGTAGAACATCGGAAGTCTAAAAAACGAGGGCAGGGTGATCTTAAAACTTTGTCTTTCGTTACTTTTGAACTTTGAGTCTAGCATGTTTGTCTTCTCTGATGGCATATTATTGTCAGAAAGTGATTGTATTGTACGGTTGAGGAAACAACGGCTTCCTCGTAAATTCTGCTGAATATCCTGGTCACCCAATTTTTTTCTCCCTGAATTGACGTCAAGTGTCGAATGATTCATTTCTTCGGCGTATGATATAACTCTTCTGAGGTTCTCTGCCTTTGTTTCGCGCGTACCACCATTTTTAGTAGAAGTTCCATTCATTGTACTCGGAAAATACTCATTTGCTCCTGGCGGAAGCCTATAAAAAAGGGCGCCACCCAGGGCGTGGGATGCGATGGCGCCACATAGTAAGAGCCCTCCTCTCAGTCCATACTCGTCAAACAAAACTTGAAACAATGGTGGAAAGACGAGGCCTCCGATGGTATATCCTGAACTGGCTATCCCCGAAGCGATGGCCCGATAGCGCGAAAAATGCTCTCCAATGACCGTGTTGAAGAGCGAAAAGAAGCCCAGGCTTGTGCCTGCGTAGAAAGTGACAAAATCAGTGCGGTTAACAAGGCACATTAGATAAACGGTCAACAAGTGACGAACGCAGAGCAATAGAAACAACCCTAGGGTCAATGACCGTTTAAGAAATGCAGGCCGTGGCAAGTCCCGACTAGGGTTCTACGGTCATCTTATTATCGCTCAGACGTTTGCGAGTACGGCCTCCGGGCGGCGGAGGTGAAAAGGGGCGGGGGGGGGGGGGGGGGGGGGGGGGGGAGGGGCATCTTACTGCTGCTGTGGGTAGATCGTCGGATAGTCAAGCATTAATGAGGCGTACCCACGGCCTCAGCAATGCTTAACTATCAGACGATCTACCCGTGCCCACCAGAAGTAAGAGGGCGTCGCCCAGAGGCCGTACTCGCAAACCTCTATATGATTGTGGCATATTAGATATGTAGTGAAGTAAGCGTGCAGATAAGAAGCCATGCCTCGTATTTCTTAAGCTGGTCGTCGATTGTACACATTTCCATTTCCAGAAATCGCCCTCTGTGCGCTGCCATCTTTGTCCGCTCGGCTGTGGAACGGCTTCTGAGTACGCGCTGTTGCTCTGTTGTGCAGTATATCAGCCGCTGCGCCTGCGCAGACAGCTCAGTGACTCGGCATTTTTCGCCCAGCTGATAAGCGCTGTAAAGGTCGATAGTGCAAGAAAAGGTTGACCCTACACTCCAGAGGTGCGTGTGTGACGACACTCCCCCACAGGGCGCGTGGTACGCCACTAACCGCGTTCTGCAGAAACCCTCCAGCGAATGAGGATTCCACAAGAACGAGTTTGACTCGAAAATATACACTCTGCACAGGGACTGCGAGCAAGTGATACGTAGGATTCTGTGTTTTCGTTCTTTATGAAAATCGGTGAAAGCTGTCGCTGAGTGATCCAACCCAAACTATTCGTGACTCCAGCGACCTATAGGGGGCGCCACCACCAAACAAACATGGCGGCTGAGTCCAGGTCGCGTCGGCTCGGCCGGGCCGCCTGAATAGGTGGCGCGTTCAATTTAACAGATTTTCTTCTGTTTAATGCCCAATTTTATAGGTATTTGAACTGAGACGGTTAAGTGTAGCCGGTGCACATGAACTTGCAGAGCATAGTTTTGTTTTCCAATTGTGTTTTCTGTTCTTTTCATGTCAAACTTTCGTTTCGGAGATTTCGTTCGAAACCGAAACTATGGGCTCTGAAGAGACGGTAATATACTAATAAGTTTTGATCATCTAAGGAAAGCGGCAATGAATACAGAATTCTCCCACCGACAGTAATTTTCAGCCAACTCGCATGCCTCGACCATGCGACTTATCTGTCCGCGAAATCGAGCTTTTGTGCGTATCCGCGTTTAAGAAACAGCTTCAGTCGTATGCTCGGTCAACAACACAGGCTGCAGGAAGATTACGAAAATTAAGCAAGCGCTTCTTGGGCCAAGGAGCATGTTAACCCACCGGCACCCCACTAAGCAGCTGATACTCGTATTTCAATTCAGGTTTGAGTAGCAATCGAGAAGTCATTTTGACGAGCGGGTTATGTATTATATTACGTACTATGGGGGTCCCACTAAAGCGATATTAGTATATTTTTCGGTTTGAAATATGAGCTTAGTTAACTAGCTATTATGTGAACTGCTGAATAAAAATATATTTGACAGACAGAGAGATACTAAGTTAAACTTAACCAAATGGTTCTAGCCAGTAGCACGGAGACGAATGCGGACAAACTGAAGAGAGTCTTCATTGGAGATTCACGCAGAACCTCTCTGGGCATTGAACTTGACTTCGAATCCTGAACAGAAAAAATGAGTATTTTTATAATCGGTCAACCTGAGCAATGTAGACGTATATTGATGCTCGCTTAATTCGACGGAGGTATAATATAAATATTGGAGGCGCGATAGATCATAATGCCATGACAGCTTCTAACGTTGCGAGACGCGTCCCCCACCTTTTGAAAACATATAATTTCCCCCATTCATCATTTGCAGCGAGCAGGTTTTCCTGAATCAAGTAATTGCGAAATCAGCCCAACTCCTTCAGAGTGGTCCAGAGGATTTTTCGGCGAAAAGCAGCCAAGATGAATAGCCAACGCACCGACCGGCGTGGGTGGCTCAAACTTGAGGCTGATCGAACACAACCAAACTCAAGAAAAGCAGCTATCGAACCTTCCCATTCACTTGACTGCAGCATTGGTGTTCCCTCCAGTGAAATGCCTCGTCGGTCGTCCTCCCACTGTTCTACATCCTCATAAAGAAACCCCTTATCAGTTACCAAGTAGTCGTCATTTTGTATGTTATTCGAGACAGACAAGAAATCAAAACGTTTTTCCGCGATTCCTCCCCATCCAAGAAATCACGTGATGGAAGGAAACACGTGATGGGAGGAAACAATCTACTGAGGTTTCGCCACACTAATGAACACTCAGGCAAACTTAAGAAATTTTCGGACCTTCGTGAAATTACACTGTTCGGCATCGCGCCGACAACACGTGTCAGCGAAAGCCACCAGAGATGCGGAGGGGCGCGGAGCAACCTGGACCGGCTGGTTCCCGGTTTTCCCGCTTGGTGGCGTCCGTTTCGCTGGAGTCGCGAATACGGCAAGAATATTTTTATATTTTTTATTTGCAGCTTTAGTTTGCGTTGACTGGCAAACAGCCAGCGCTCTAATGTCCGCGCGAGACTGCTGCTCTTGACAAGAAAACCACGGCGCTTATCTTGTTTTGTTCTCTTATCGGTACCGGGACGTTCTGATGGTATTCGGGTCAGGCACACGTTATCTGGAAGTTCAGGAATCACACGGCCCTGTCCTGCTTGCTTCAAAAATAAGCCTCGAAAAACGCGGATTTTTATCGGATGCCGAAAATAGACGCCGAAAAACACGGAATCTGTAGAAACTATAAACCCCGAAACAACTGCCCCTGAATTCGAAAAGAAATAAACCCCAGAAAACTGGGAGCCCCAGGATCCGGCATATTAACATGCTTATTTTTGTGGGCGACTGGACCGCATAAAGGGAACATGCGCTGCGAACAGGCGTCGGGTGTCATCCGACACCGTTCATTCGTCGCGCGGCGACAGAACGACGGCGTTTGCTGGCTCCCCGTGCGCAACGTACCACCGTGCTAAGTTCGTCAGGTTTTCGCAGCATATTCGCGCCATGAGAGTCACCATCGCATAAGAGACCGACGACGCGAACACCGAAAGCGGCAACTAGATGGGCCTTGCGTTCCTGTCAGGTGACCGCCCAAAAAGGCGGGGAAGGGGGGGGGGGGGGGGGGGGGGAGCCGCGGCCGAAGTTTGCCAAGGGCGCTTGTTGTTGTAGAGCGGGCTTTGGTCCCAGTGCACGGTCACTTTTGTCCAATCTGTGTATCAAGCCGCAGCTTGAAAGTGATGACATCACGGGAAGGTTGGGGAGGGTCTTAAAGGGAGGTATCGCGTTATTTCTTCGCGGCACGTGGGAACAAACAGAAATTATTAGTCGCGAAAATAATTTAATAGAAGCCTGTCAGGACATTGGAATTATTTACTCTTACGTTTCGCGCATTGACAAATCAACCGCGAGTATAACAAGGAACGCAGGGCGGGGTCTTATATGTTCACGCTTCGCGCTACGTTATTTGTAAATTATTGCTAGGGGTCTCCGAACCCCGGCCCGCGGGCAAGATCCGGCCGCCGCCTTCCCACTGAAGCCCGGCCTGCGGCCCGCCTCAAGCACACCCGCTGCGAGCAGAGCAAATGAAAGTGTGCGCCAAGAAACGGCGGTGCAGCGCGCTCTAAATTCTCAAACTGAGATACCGGAAAGAACGAGAGAAAGTGCATCGGATAACACAGGTCCTCTCGCCATTATATTAACTGAACATTGTCATCCCTAGCATTACCACTTCTAGACCCCTTGCTTCATGTCTGTGTAGCTGTGTTAAAATTCCGGTGCGTTCTTGTGTACATTGCGCTTAGTGTCCTCTGTCACAACTATTGCATATTGCGAACATTGCTTTTTCATTCTCATTTGTTCCTTGCACAGCGCGAGTGTGCCGAAGTCCAGATGCATTCTTTGATTTATGCCTGGTCAGTTTTCTTGGTCGCAAGTGTTGTGTAATGTCATACTTATCTAAATATTAAATTGTAACTTGACGTTTACGTATTCGTCCACCTTAGGTGTTTTTTTTTTAATACTTTAACATTCTCATTTGCTTAAATGTTTATCTAGGTTTATTTACTAAGTTCTTTTTCGATTGTTAGTACTTCTTTTTTTTCGGCCCTCGAGACTCGATTGCTAATCCCCGGCCCTTAGCCAAAATGTTTTGAGACCCCTAGTTTAGTCTAAAGTATAAATTTCATTACATGTGGAGCGATAATAAGATGCTTCGGACTCGATATGCCCTGCATTTCTTAAACTGTCATTTGCTACACTCTTATAAGTCGGGAGTGTTTCTTTTCCCAAGCAAATCGCTGCAATCCGCAGAGGAGGCTTGGCGAATGCCAAGGTTGAAAAACTGTTTCGAGCTAGAAATTAAAGGAAGATTTATTGGTGGATCCGCAGGAAATGCGTTAGTATGACCTTTTGGAAACGGCACTCACGCCTCCCTTTGGGAAACGCTAACGCTGACTCCTTCACCTTCTCTATTTTGGTTTTCTCTTCTGTGTTCTCTACTTTACGCTGCTTCTTTTTGGCTTCGTTACGAGGTCAGCGTTGGCGTTTCCCAAAGGGGGACGTGTCTGGCGTTTCCCAAGGGTCATGTTAACGCATTCCCTAAAGATCCACAAAGGGATCTTTCTTTAATTTTTTTCCGGCTTCTACATGTCGCACTCAAACCCGCGTCAGCTTGCCGCTTCCTGTGCCGCATTTCGGCCAGCCGAGCTAGGTGCTGCCTACGCTCCTCTTTCTCGCTCGCCCGCCTTGCACGCTCAGCAGTGGCATCCGCTGCCTGACGCTGCTGCAAGTTCAGACTCGCCCCAGCATCCGCGCGCTCATTGGCTTCCACCCCGTGACGTCGCCTCCCCTCTAGCCTTTGACCTTCACCACTCTCCTCCTCTCTACGCGGCACGCTACCCTTTTCACTGTTCTCTCCGCAGAGGCAAACACCGTCAGATCTCCCCTGTCTTGTGGGTATACTAATGCTAACGCATTAAAGGTCTGCCTTGTGACGCTAAGCACGGTTGAGCGCAGACTGTCTTTTTTAATTAAAGACTTGAGCGTGTTGGTGATCTACATTGAGTTAAAACGAAAGAAACACACAAGAGGACGAAAGCTGTGTCGTCTGTTTCGTCCTCTTGTGTGTTTCTTTCGTTTTAACTCAATGTCTTTTTTAACTTGTTACCGACTAAACAAAAAGGACGGACAAGGCCTCTTTGTGTGACAAGTTATTGAAAACCAACGCGCCTACGTTCACCTTTGTCTTTATATGTTTAAGCGTATTTTGTCTCGGTGTCACAGCGCAGACTCTCCTCCTAGGTCTAAACATATTCTGGGTCTTGTGATTCGCCGAGCTCTCCATGTTGACCGTAGCGATTTTCTCTCTCATACGCCTTGTGGGAAAGTACACTCTCCAGATTTCTTAGACTCTGGACTGAAACCAAATCATGCAGCGCGCATTCTTAGCAATAACACCGCCGGGCAACAAATGCACCCGGCACGTCATCTCGTTTTAAAGAATAGCAAGAACTGTTTTGTCGCGCAGTACGTACCATGTAAGATTCCCAAAAATACAACGAGAAAAGGCATGCTGTTTCCGAAGAAGCAGACAGCCAGAGAGAGGGGTGCCACCAGACTTGCGCACACTGTTAGCTTCCAAATAGCCACGTGCTTGGCCAAATTTCCCGCCACAGGCGCTGAAAATGTGCGGCACGGCTTCAGAGTCAGTACCTTGCCCATGCATTACGACTGCCACGCTATACCGGCTACAAAGCCCTTTTGCATTGCTTGTTTACTTCCTCCTCTTATAACGTGATTTACTGGTATTAATCTTGGTGCAAGTGCCCTATGCTACATGCGCAGTTTTGAAATGAATGTCTAACTCCTTTAAGAAGTGTTTGGTACCACTACCTCAAACTAAACGACTGCCCCCTCCCCCCCCCCCCTTTTTTTTTTTTTTGCGTGTTGATTAATAGTGCAACTGCTGTCGGAGCAGCAGAGGATTTAAGCATGATTATAATTCAAGCACCCGCAGCCTATTCTTCGATGTGACTTGACACCTATTGTGACCTGGACTCAGAATCGTCACTCTGGAATTTCTCTATCTTATAGTCGAAGAGTATTTTCTTTAAGATTGCGTTTTCGCACGAACAAAAAAGAAAAAAAGAATGGGGTAGTTGTGGAGTGAACGTGTTACCTCACTGCGGCTCGGAACACGTGGAGCGAAAGCTTGCACTGCAGAGGTTCGATCGCAACCCCTACCTGCTTAAATCTGAACGAGCGTCGTACTGTCGTGTAATCGCTACTGCATGGAGCACGTTAAAAACCCCAGACTAGAGGTGATATTGCACTTGCTAAATATCTCGTATACAACGGAGACCCATTGGAGCAGACATAGCGACCCGCGGGCTAAGCATACACAAAACTAAATTGTGATTAATAGTATCAAGGGGAAGGGCACCACAAACCTGAAAGGCAGTAGAATATTCCCATCAGTGAGATTGGCCAAGAAGCCTCTTCTCTCGTCGTGCCGAGTGATTGGACGATGTTCACAAACAGCACCGCTGTCGACCGAAATACGGCGTAGGAAAATGCATTGACCCAGCAGCAGGCAGCGGCAACAACCCAACTCTTTGCCGAGTCCATCACATTGACTTCAGCTCTCGCACATAGCAATCCTGGTGATAGGGTTCCCATGGCAATACGTTTTACAGGGAGACAGATTGCAAGGTAAAAATGTCTGGAATCATGTAACAGCCCCATTATCTCCCCCTTTGCTATAGATGCCCCATTCTACAAACGTTTTTATCGGTCGGAAAAGTTTCGCAACTGACAAGATTTTCCCGCGACATCAGTGTCAATCCAGTAGAGCCAAAACAGAAAAAAATGAAAGACGTTTACAACTCCCTGCAACGACGAATTGAGCGCAGCTCTTGAGGAGAAGGAAAGGAGGGGAGGGGGGGGGGGGGGTTTATGGAGTTCCCGCTAAATTCCCCTACGTTTAGCGGGAACTAAATTCAGCTACATTTAGCGGGAACTAAATTTAGCGGAATTTAATTCCCGCTAAATTTAGTGCGGAACTTTTTAGCTGAATTTAGCGGGAAAATTTTTCCGCTAAATTTAGCCGGGAATTCTTTTCGCTAGGTTTGGCGCGAAGTTGTTCCGCTAAATTCAGCAGGAAATTTTTTTTGGTAAATATAGCAAGGAAATCTTTCCGCTCAATTTAGCGGGGAATTTTGTCTGCTAAGCTTATAGCAGGAAAGATTTTTCGTAAAATTAATCGGGGACATTTTATGCTAAATTTAGCGGGAAATATTCCGCTAAATTTAGCGAGAATTTGTTTCCGTTAAATTTAGTGGAAATTTGTTCTGCTAAATCTAACAGAATTTTCCACTAAATTTAGCAGAACATTTTTTTCCTTTTGCTTCCTCGTGAGCTTCGTGACGTCACCCGTGACGTTATTACAGCAAAGATCCCATGATGCAACGCGCGGTTACGCCGATGACAACGCCACTCAGACCGGAAACGTACGCCATAGAGCTGCGCTCTAAAAAGATAATTACTCACACGAAAAAAAATGAAAGACGTCTACGATTTCCTGTACTCCTAATTAGAGCACAGCTCTTGAGGAGGAGGAGGTGAGGGTATGGAGAGGAAGGTATGACCGCTGCCCTCCCTCGTATCCTCTACTCCTCCCCTCCTCCCCCTCGCCCTCCTCCATCCGCCTCCTCTCATTCTCCTCCCCTCCTCCTATCTTCCTTCTCCTCCCCTTCTTCTCCCCCTGCCCCTCCCTCGTGAACCTCGTGACGTCATCCATGAAGGCCTCGTGAAGGTTTGCTATGACCTTCACGAGTGGCCTTCATGACGTCACTCGTAACGTCACGTGTGACGTCATTATGGGAAACGTTCCATAATGCAACGCGCGGTTATGCCGAGAGCGACGGCGACGCCGCTCAAGCCAGAAACGGGCACCTAAGAGCTGCTCTCTAAAAGAATAAGCGTGTTTCATTTGATTTGACTGACTTGAAACAAAATAAAATTAGCATGTTCATTGCGTGAGTTGGGTGTTTTGCTGGATCGAAGAGGGGTGGTTTTTTTACGCACAGGCTCTTATATTGTGTGTTGAGGTACAAAGAAAAAAATTAAAGACGTTTACAACTCCCTACAATGCCGGATTAGAGCGCAGCTCTTCAGGAGGAGCAGGAGAGGGTACGAAAGAGAAGGTATGCTTGTCCTCCCCCACCACCCCCCTCCTCCTTTCCTGCTCCCCTCCCATTTAGCGGGAAATTTTCGCTAAATATATATATATCCCGCGAAATTTAGCAAAACTTTCCCCGCTCAATATAGCGGCGAAATGTTTAGCGAGAAATTTGTCCCGCTAAATTTAGCGGGGAAATTTTTCCGCTAAATTTAGCGGAGGATTTTTTTTTTAATTTAGTGGGGAAAGTTTTCCGCGAAAGTTATTGGAAATCTTTTCCGCTAATTTAGTGGAGAATTTTTTCGCTGAATTTAGCGGGGAAATTTTTCTGCCAAAATTAGCGGGGAAAGTTAACGGGAGGAGGAGAAGAGGTGAAAAAGAGGAAAAGGAACAGGTGAGGAGAAGGAGGAGGAGGAAAAGGGGGAGAGGACCCCAGTGAGTCTGCCGCGAGCGCAGCTAACCAAGCAGGTAGCGCGCTCGTGCCCGAGTTCATCCAGACGAAACTGTCAGCTCATCTGCCATCATTTCTTGTTTCGTCGTGCGGTGGCGAGCCCACTCAGCTATTAGCGGCGAGATGTTTTAGTGGCGCCCTCATATGATTACCTTTCGTGACGTCATTACGTTGCGAACAACAAGCTCTATGGTGTTTGTAAGGAGCATGGTTGAAGCTTGAAATCATTGCGCCCTTAAAGCAACACTACCAACACCCTCGAAATTAAAGTTCTTCCATTCCTCTTATTTGCGTCGATGAGAAATCCTTTGCTGACGTCATAGTCAGCATTCGGCCAATCGCGGAAGGCCGACCACAGCGACGCTTTCGATCACGCACGTCGCCAATACTAAAGCCCCTTGATAACGGCGTTTTTTACAAGTACCGCCAACCATTGTTGTGGAACCGCGCGAGACACGTGCCACGAGCGGGTGCTCCGCCGCCATTCGCTTCCTAAAGCCGCTCAATTCAGTGCTGCGCCGCCATTCGCTTCCAAGGGCCGCTCGAGATGCGGGTCTCGTGCACTCGACCATTTTACGCTACTTGCACGACAAACGCAAGCATATCGAGGGGCTTTAGGCTATACTGTTTCACCTTGTGTTGTACCGCAGGAAAAACTACAAGCGCGAGCTCCTTGCTCTATAGCACACCTCGGCGGCACAAACTCTCGTGCACCAAAATTAAGGGCAGCTGCCAACGCTATGAACTCGCGCTTCTAGCCTCCGCTGCGGTACAACATAAGGTGAAACGGAGTGTAGTGGGGTTTCAAAAGGAGATCATCGACACAGCGGGGTTTTTGTCTGCTCGTTTTTCTTTCGAATATTTGTCTCTTGTGAGCAAGAAAACGCTGACGCGCGATTTGGTAGTTAGTTTGTTTCCGACGCCACTATATAGAACTGCTTTTCGTAACGGCAGCCACGATGTGCTGAAGAGAGTGAAAAGTGTACTTCCTTCAGTGAAGACCTTCTTTTTTTTTAAGTTACACACCAATACATTGCCGGTCAAAGTGTGGCTAAGGGAAAAGGGTATTTATATACCGTGGACTGTGAATTGTTTGTTATGTAAGCCACCTGAAGCAATTGAACATGTCTTTTGCTGGGATGCCGTATTTTTCTGGGATGTGCTCCAGCGCACGCTTAAAAAAGAACTGCCCATTACCCCATCGGGCATTCGTTTTTTTTTTTTTTTTTTTTTTTTTTTTTTAATGTAACTAATGTAACTGTAACGTACCCTTTGACATGTTTTGTTTGCTGGACCTTTGTAGCATATGGCGGTCGCGCATGGCAGTGCGGCATGCCGACCCCAAGGCGTAAGAAGTCCGTTTCTATTTTTTCAACCTTGTCAAGCAAGTAGAAAGTGTGTTTGCCACCGGCGAGCCTAAGCCAGAGTGGCTAGGCCTTTGTAAGTGCCTTAGCAAGCGCCGGCGGTTCAACGTCTCCTCGGCGATTGTCAGTTGCTGGCATCTTGACTCGAGAAATAAAATTATCGAAGGAACTACGAGTTTCAAGGTGACTGCCTGGATGACAGGACATCTCTGCACTTGAAAAAGGGCGTTCGCCACTGACAACCGCTTAGCAGATAGATTACGAAGGCATGCCATAGGCGCATTCAAGCCGCGACATTGAGCCGTCGGCGTTTGCGAAGGGATCGCGCCGCAGCGCGCAGTTGTCAGACGCCGCAGCGTTGCATATGCTTCAGCTTCGTAAACATTCGGACGAATGGTTCGTGGTGACAAAGAAGCGTGATGCATCTTGGTCAAGTAAGCGGCACTCGAAAGCACACGCTACAGTCCGAGTCAACGGAGCGAGCGCGGGCGGCCAAATCCCAGCGCACTCAGATCTCGCGTCGCGATTATTGGTTCAGAGGTCTGCCTACCCCTATGACATGTGCGCGGGTGTTCATAACTCGACTGCACGCTGGTCAAATGAACCAAAATGAACAGCTAACCACGCGATAGGAATCGGTAGCAACAGTAGTACTCACCCGGGGAACGACGCGCGAAGCGGCGTGTTGTCCATCGGCACTTCCGTCGAAAAAGGCGAATTAAAAACACAAATACAATATATATATATATATATATATATATATACAAGAAATATCGCGCGCAGAAGAGAATAGGAACACTTAGAAGCAATATAAAATACACTGGAATAGATAAAAATAGGTAATGGAATCGGAAAAAAAGAGGATTAGAAGAGGCAAGCGACAATGCAATGCGATCTCAAGGCAGTGTTCAAAAATAGGTTGAATATGATCCACAATATCGGTAAATGGCAATCGCACGTTTGTATTTTGAGCCTCGTGGCTGTATTTTTTGTTGTAAACGGCCCACTCTAGCAAGCGCTCGCAGAAGGCCCAGCTTAGAGCATGCGACATCCGACGCAATCGTGACGTAGGTCGTCTCGGGACGGGCAAAGCTACGGCGAGGCTGACGTCGAGGGGATGGCCTAGTCGTTCCACCAATCGAAGCGGCTGCTTTTGTATGGATTTTTAGTGACGGGTTAATCATTTATAATCTTGTAGGGGGACAATAGCTACTTCTGGAACACACAAAAGGGATTCTCAGGAAGACGGGTGTTCCTCCTTCCCCTCTCCTCTCGTCGTGGCCGGAGGCGAGACACTCACCGTCACTAGCTGTCAAGGTTCCTAGACGGGCATTACAAACGAGGCGTTAACGACGTCCACCAGTTGCTCTCTGCGAATCGTTTAATTCGTTTTAAAATTCCTTTTCGCAACTTCTTTTAACAAGATATTGGTATGTTCGATGTGATGCTGCTCCTTTGAACACATATAGACCAAAAATGAGCGCCAAAATTTCGTTGTAGTATCCCTTTAAAACATCTGCGAACCAGCGCATGCAGAGTGACAGCGCAGAGTCGGGAATGCGAGCTAATTTGCCGACCACCCAAAGGCCCATGATATAAATGTCACTTCAAATGCCTCGAAAGCTGGATGTAATGTCGTCCTAAATCATGAACATGCAAGGAACAGAATTCCAGCGTCTGAAACACTTGCGCCACCGCTTCACCGACCCCTCGCAAGATTGCCTTGTGTCATGTGGACGGACGGGGACGTTCATCGGCGGAATTGCCTCCGCCGATAGCTTTCGAGATTTGTAACCCAATTTTAAAGGTAAAAGGGACAAGCAGGCTTATAAAATCTACGGAAGCACGTCAATATCGGCCTAACTCAATGATGATGATGATTAACG